AAACTCCCACATTACTACAAATAAATCGGTGTATGGGAAACCCAGTGTTGCTATTGTGAATGAGAACATGAGTGATTTGTTAGCTTACATGCTAATTCCAGTACTCATTAGACTACTGAAGGACTTCAGCTATCTGTAAATTCCAAATATTATTTATATGCATTACATATTGTTCTACTCATGTGCACTGATAGATTATATTGTGTGCTGTCTGCAAGTGGTGTGTGTGTGTAGGTTATAGTTTTAGGTTTATTGTGTTAAAGGTAAATTATTTTAAGAGTAACAAGTTATTTAATTATTAACATTCTGATTGTTCCTATATATATATATATTTATATATATATATATATATATATATATATATATATATATATATATATATATATTAGGGATGCACCGATATGGATTTTTTTGGCCGATACCGATAACCAATAATTCTTCAGAATTGGAGGCCGATAGCCAATATGTATAGGCCGATATTTATAAATATTTCAAAATGATATATTTTTATACAGCAAACGTCATAAAAGATTGAACTTCTTTTATGAACTAAATAGTCTATACTCAAAGCAAAAAAGCTTTAACTTCAAAATTGCAAGGTGATTATAGACCTATATTCAAGATTTCACATAAATCAGCATGCAAAAAATACATTACTTCCTTTTCTTCATACCAAATTAACATGCAACTTGACTGTTGCATAAAATTAATAAGGTTAATTAACAAAATATGATTTATTCAACAAGCAAATTAAATATATTTAAATAAGATGAGAATGAAAGCACTAAGGACTGAAACCAGCTCAAATGTTCTTGAATAAAACGTGTTACAGTGATGTACACATGTACAAATACGTCATGTCCGAAAAAGCCTTTTTTAGAGGTGTTTTGACAGTTCAGAGCCACTGTACAAGTAAACAGCTTACAGATAGTACGTTTAGAAAATGCGGCACAGATTCATGCTATTTGGCGTTTTAGATTCTTTCGAACATGTAGCTGCTGCTTGTCAATCAGATGCGTCTGCGCTCGTTCTTGCTGTCAATTGCGGGGGGAAAATGATCGATGAAAAGTTTATGATAAACCGCTGAGTTTTACTTAACTGTAGAGGAAGAGTTGCCATCAGAGTCAGATTTTCATACAAAACCTGCATTGAGCTGACTTTATGGCTAACAGAGCTGAATATAAAGACAGAATGAGCTGCTGGTCGAGAGCCTCTATGACTGGATTCACCTCTCCCCCGTGCTACAGTGTGTGTGTGAGCGCGGTGACAGCTCGCGCGCTCATCATAATCAATATGAATATTTCGATCAAACTGAATACATCTTACATCAACAACACATGACAAGCAACGAGTTGATAATAACAAATAATCAGATTACAAACAACTGTTTACACATGTTGTAAAATGTGCGGGTCCAGTTGCAGTTTGGTGTGTGTGTGTGTGTGAAGCGTAGAGGGAGAGGGAGAGAGAGAGGAGCGGTTTTTGGGCAATGAGACTATTTTAGGTGACTGATTTGTTGTACCACACGGAAAGTAATAAATATTTTGGACCAAGTTACATGTGTCCTCGTTCATTCACCGGCTGCAATTAAAAGAGAAGGCAATTCACCACGAAACTAATATTATTCGGCCCTGGAGTAATAAGTTAAGAATCCCTGCTATCTCTACACAACAAAGAGACGGAGCTGGAAAGGTTTACATAGTTAATATTTTAAATCGCCTGAGGCGATTTAAAGCAAAATACACAATGACACTCAATCAAACACATCTACAATGATAAGGAACATGGTTACTTACTGACTTATTAACGCACAGCAATACCACTTGAAGAAATGACAGACTTTGAAGGAATAAACAGTGTGAAGAGAGATCCATTATAGTGCAGTGGGCAAGTGTGAACAAGTTCCGCCCACGCGTGCGCAAGTCTGTACAATTACGTAATTTATCGGGCATGGTGGTTTTTTTCCCCCTCAAAAAGGGCTGTAGTAGATGAACCTAAAAAATCCAATCAGTAAGAATTAACTAATAGTACTAGTTGTATAAAATCTGTAATAGCCCAAAAGCAAAAGAGACATAAAACATCAAATCACATCTGTAAAATTCTAAACAAATGTTTTCTCTGTATGCACTGTGGTGGTACCAGTCAGCATCGATCTGCATTGCCCACCAGTAAATAGAAAGATAATGTTATGAACATTTTACATCTTATCATCTTATTATTTTAATCATATATATATATATGTATATATGTGTGTGTGCGTGTGCGTGTGTGTGTGTGTGTGTGTGTGTGTGTGCACATGTAACCGAACTGCAACCAATTACAAACCCAAATTTAAAGTGAAGCCAGTCTTCAGTTTTTGCATCATCATTGACAAAATATGGCGGTTAACTCCCTTGCCAACAGCTGCATCTCCTAAAAAAAATACAAAATGAAGCAAGTTCGTTGCACAAACTGTACACAGCAAATTTTAGATAGTAGATTTAACTACCTTAGAGTTAAAATTAACACTCCCTCAGAGTTTATATGGGAACCACTATAAGTGTTAAAAATAACACTTTTAAAAGTGTTAACATTGTCAACACCAAGAGAGTGTTAATTAGCAAACTCTTATTGTGTAAAATATCTGTTACATTTCCGAAAAAATACCAGCAGCTGTGGTTGCCAGAAACTTTCTGTGAAAAACATGGAAGTTTTATATAACTGTACAAACTTACAAAAAAATAACCATATTTCATGAACTAATACAATATTCAGTTTACAAAATCATAGCTTAGTGCACAAAAATGTAAAGTCAAATGTAAAGTTTTTTAATCAAACTCACCCTGCAAATTTTAGATTTGGTAGATTTAATTACCTTAGAGTTAAAATTAACACTCCCTCAGTGTTTATATGGGAACCACTATAAGTGTTAAAATAACACTTTTGAAAGTGTTAAAATTTTTAACACCCAGAGTGTTAATTAGCAATTTTTTTTTTGTGTAAAATATCTGTTAAATGTATGTCAAAATACTGGCAGCAGTGGTTGCCAGTAATCTGCTGTTTTCAACATTTTACATTCGTAAATTCAGTTTCCAGAATATTTCTGTTAAAATCAAATCCCATAGTCTGTATTTTTCATTCGAACACACGTAAGCCTTAAATTCCAAAGCAAAATCCTAACTAGTGTCCTCACTACAGAGGGCTGAACACTCAGACAGTGATGAAGTTAATGAGACAATTAAGTGTCTAATTAAAGGGGGATTGAGAATTGTTGATGAACAACAGTTAACAAGCAGAATCACTGAAGGACAGAAAAACACAAGCCAAAACCAAAGATGAAATCAACTGAGAAAAAAAAAACTCTAAATAAAATAATAATCAATAAAAATAAAACAAATTACACAATAAAAAATGTTATTTTTCAACATCTTTAAAAAAAACTCATCACATTAAACAACTTATCATTGAGCTTCACCTATTACTGAGCTTTGACTTTATTTCTGTCATGCGAACCAAAGCTCTTAATGAAATTTCTGTTGTTCATTTGAAGTCACTATGATGGAGGCTTTAGTCAGGCTCTTCAACTTCTTACTATAAATGTCTTTTATTTTGGCTGTTATAGATAGTGTTAATTACACTATTTAAACATATAGCATGGAAAGCCGAAAGAAAATTAAAGTATCAGTCTGAAGAGATTATTAATGATAACATAGCCATCCTTTCCTGCTTGTTTTCAAATTCAACATCATATTAGTTATGTGTGAGAAATAAATAATATACATCAATGAAACAACTGAAGCTCCAATAAAATAAAAACAATATTTACAATGAGAATGGTTAATCTATAGCAGTACTCAAAAATACACAGACATCAATAATTAGTGTTTGAATCTCAATGATGGTGATAAACAAAAAAATAAAAATCAAGTAAAAAAAACACTCTACTGAAATATCACCTCCCAAAAACAACACAAAATAAAGGAAAATAAAGAGATTGTAAGAACACAAAGCTGCATAATTTATTCATGCTGCAATGCATGCTGGGAGCTTTGTACTATGCTGGCACCCAGCATGCATTGTGGCATGAACTATGCAGCTTTTTCTTTTTTTATTTGGCAACCACGGTTGAGGTTCATATCCTGATTCTTGATCCCTGTGTGTCATAATGAGCAAGCTGGAGCTTGAATGTTTAGGGCATGACACTCTAATTATTAATTGCATCCTAATTGTTTGTTGAATTTTCTATGAAGAGCAGCAGACAGCCAGTAGTATTGTCCCATGCAGCTTTAATACAACTATATTTGCATATCTTTATGAATTAACTTAATAAACTCCTGAAATTAAATCTATAACAATTAAGCATAAACAGTATAGGTTCTCTTGACCTTTCTTGCTATAGCTAATGAGTTTTAGAAACACGACTATAGCAGTCAGAGAAACATTATGTTATAAGGGTAAAGCTTCAAGAGCTCAAATAAGCAGCCTCTGATCTCTATGATGGTGAGGTCAAATGAAATATTTTTAATAAAAAAACCTAAACCTCTGTTCATTGTCAAATATTCTTACAGAAATGAAGTCAAACTGTAATCAGTGAAGCTGCTTATGCTATTATTTAATGGAGTTGTTTAATCCTGTGTTTTAATTCAGTTGGTTTGGTGTGAGGCTGTGTCTGTAGTTTTATTTCTTCCTTCAATTTCTTATTCCTTCAGTGATTGTGCTTGTTAACAGCAGGTGTTCAACAGCAGGTGTCTGAATTCACTTATTTGTGGTCATTCCCTCTGTCTAGTGGACTAAACTAATTGACTAATTTAAGGGCCAGGTGAATGAGGGTGTGGCGAGATTTCAGACACTCTGATTAGTTTCTCAAATACAAGGGTTTTCTACAAAGGTAGATACATGTTACTCTGTGTGACAAGGAGGCAAACCAGCTTCTAACGCCGAGAGGGTTATTTTACCTTTATCTAACTCTAGATTTTTAACACTTTACTACTGAATTACCACAACACTTGAAATTTAACACCAACGAATTTGCTGTGTGTAATGGAACTACAAACAGCATGTTCTTTCCATTATTTGACACTGATTTTAGGAGTCGAGTTGAGTATCCATCAGCATCTGTGGGAATTATAGACAGCTTACGCCGCCCACCACCACCTAATGGCAAAATCAATTGAGAATCACATTCAGGACTACTGTTGCCTTCTTGGGCTAGCAATATTGTTATAAATGTGTCACCTAAAATTTTGGACAGAAATGTTCTATAAAGCTAGGTTTACCACTGGAAAACTGAAGTAGGGCATGCCATAATCTTAGAACATGGCAGAGAAACATGTCCTTGACTAAAAAGTTTAAACTAATGAAGCTTATTACTAAATTATTAACGCCAAAAAAGCACATACCAGTTTCATTAATTTACAAAATTGCAAAGTTATTGCAAATGCACACAAATCATTTTTTGTTTATATGTAACATGCAAAACATAAATACCTGTAGACTTGTAAAACATCCAGCCACCCTGAAGTGTTTTTAATTTGGGAAACTCTCCTTCAAGCAGACTGACAATCTTAAGAATGAAACAAAATTCATCATTTAGTTTTTTTTTTTTTCCAATACATATAAAACTCCCATCAATTCCTAGTATTATGGTAACATTTGCAATTACCTCACTGTGTTTAAAATTATCTGGAACAGTTAAAAGCCTTTTTCCAAGTCCAGCATGGACAAGCTCAAGGTCTTCATCTCCTTTTGGTGTGAAGGGTGATGGTTCAGAGAGGACATGGATTTGAAAATCAGTTTTTTTAATGTTTCTAGGTTTGGCCACAGAAAAATCTCTGTCCCAAACATACTTGGGAATTGCCTATAGTGACAAAAGGGCAAAATGAATAAACATATTAATAATAAGAAACATTTTTTGCATGACACAAAAAGTTGTGTTTTACAGTAAACATGAAAAATTACCTTTTTAAGGCTTGCCTTACCATGTTTTCAGGCTCTGCAGGCAAAGGAATGGTCCCACTTGAGATGCTTTCTCTCATTGGTCTACTACCACTAGCTAGTGCATTTCTTTACGAAGATGGAGTAAGGCCCCTGGCTAATACATCGATCAGAGCTTTTGCTGCTATTTCTACTTCTGATGACAGTGCCTGTAAGACAAATACCAATTATACCTTTTATCATTTGTTATCTTCATAGTCCGCGATCAACACTGCCGACCCCCACCCCGCCCGTTCCTTACAGTCGGCGATCATCTCCTCTCTCCACCCCCCATACCCACCCACACCCAAAACGGCATTACGCTCTCCCGGTCTTCACTTTAGTACGCGATCGATTCCACCCCCAAATTAGTCCCCGATCAAATTTATAGCTGAGCTCCCTTGAATGACAATCCTAGAATCGACCATGACAGAAGCCATGCTATTTTACACGACCATCCCGTTCTTCACTCGCCATGTTGGCTTAATAACGGACTTAATTTACGTTATAAAGTTTACATTATAAACAACAGCAGCCATTGCTTTAACAAACATTTGATACTTAATCTTTGCATACATAAACCACTATAGAAATCAAGTAACCACTTACCCGCGCATCCCGCTCTTCACCTGCCATGCTAAATAGAGGAGTATTCTTCTTCTTAGAGGATCATCTTCGTTAATTAGGTCAGACTGCGCAAATATAGCGCACAGTGAAGCGATTCGGTCATTCCCACGTTCTCAGGGAGTTGTGATTGGTTGAACAGTAAGCTCGCATCTTATTGGCTACAGGGCACGAGTGACTCACGTGGGAGGTGTGTGCTGACAGGAAAGTCTCAAAAATGCACACACTCGTATTCAGGGTGAGTCGTACGTGAGAGAGGATTTGCACATTCTCATTCAGGATGAACTTGTGAATTTTAAACATTCAAAACTTTTTGTACACTCTTATATATTTGCAAATGGTGTTTTGCATTTGTGAAATGTATTTTATGAAAATGTATTTTTATTTTGTGCATGTGAATTGTTTTTGTGAGTATAAATAAATATTTTACGCATGTGAATTTGGCTACGCATGTGTACATTGTGTCTTTTGCGTGAATTATTATTGAGTCTAATCTCTCTCCATAGAAAAACACTTTTTATCAGATCTGGACTCCGTTGCTTGAATATGTAGGTCCTAGGATTTCAGGTACATTTTTGCAAAACCTTAAATCACCATAAACTTTGGTTAATTTATGTACTTTTCTATTTTTATTATTACTCTGTATTTTTATGTCTTCTTTTTTATTTTGATTTTCATTATGTGCTGTGATGCTAAGAAATTTCTTGGTTGTAAGCTGTTGTCATTGATCTGTTCTTTTTTGTTTTGTTAAAATAAAGACAAAAAAAATGTATTTCGAAGAATTCCAGTTTGTCAGCAGATAGTGTCGGCGCATAAAACATTCCTTTGCATAGTGGTTTGGTTGTCTAGGACTATGATTCTCGTTCATGCTGTGAGAAATCCCAGATTCAAATTTCGGTTGAGCCCTTACAGTTGTCTGCTGTTTTGTAAGGGCGTTGTGGCTGACACAGAGGGCTTTTTTCTGAGAATGCCAGTTCGTCAGCTGATAGTGTTGCCATATAAAGTTACTGTATTGCAGTGGCTCGTTGGTCTAGGGGTATGATTCTCGCTTAGGGTGCCCTTGATTCGTTAGAGAAAGTTTTCTGACTATCTGATGCTTCTGACACCATGTGAAATAAATTCAATTTAGTGGCTCGTTGGTCTAGGGGTATGATTCTCGCTTTGGGTGTGAGAGGTCCCGAGTTCAAATCCCAGACGAGCCCTTGCAGGTGTCATGATTTTTAACATGGCACTATGACTTTCATTAAAATGTCTTTCGAAGAATTCCAGTTTGTCAGCAGATAGTGTCGCCACATAAAACATTCCTTTGCATAGTGGCTTGCTGGTCTAGGAGTATTATTTTCGTTCATGCAATGAGAAATCCCAGATTCAAATTTCGGTTGAGTCCTTACAGATGTCTGCTGTTTTGTAAGGTCTACGGGCTTACACAGAGGCCTTTTTTCTGAGAATGCCAGTTCGTCAGCAGATAGTTTTGCCATGTAAAGTGGCTGTTACAGTAGCTAGTTGGTTTAGGGGTATGATTCTCGCTTAGGGTGCCCTTGATTCGTTAGAGAAAGTTTTCTGACTATCTGATGGTTCTGACGCCATGTGAAATTTTATCAATGTAGTGGCTCGTTGGCCTAGGGGTATGATTCTCGCTTTGGGTGAGAGAGGTCCTGGGTTCAAATCCCGGATGAGCCCTTGTGGGTGTCATGCGTTTTACAGGGCACTATGTCCTTCGTAAAAATATCTTTCGAAGAACTTCAGTTTGTCAGCAGATAGTGTCGCCACATAAAACATTCCTTTGCATAGTGGCTTGCTGGTCTAGGAGTATGATTTTCGTTCATGCAATGAAAGATCCCAGATTCAAATTTCGGTTGAGCCCTTACACTTGTCTGCTGTTTTGTAAGGTCGTTGTGGCTTACACAGAGGCCTTTTTTCTGAGAATGCCAGTTTGTCAGCAGATAGTGTTGCCATATAAAGTTGCTGTTTTGCAGTGGCTCGGTGGTCTAGGGGTATGATTCTCACTTAGGGTGCCCTTGATTCGTTAGAGAAAGATTTCTGACTATCTGACGCCTTGTGAAATTCTCTCAATTTAGTGGTTCATTGGTCTATGGGTATGATTCTTGCTTCGGTTGCGAGAGGACCTGGGTTCAATTCCCGGATGAGCCCTTGCAGGTGTACTGTGTTTTACAGGGCATTATATCTTTCGTTAAAACATCTTTCAAAGAATTCCAATTTGTCAGCAGATAATGTCGCCACATAAAATATTTCTTGCATAGTGGCTTGCTGTTCTAGGAGTATGATTCTCGTTCATGCCATGAGAAATCCTAGGTTCAAATTTCAGTTGAACCCTTACAGTTGTCTTTTGTAAGGGCGTTGTGGCTTACACATGGGCCTTTTTTCTGAGAATGCCGGTTTGTCAGCAGATAGTGTTGCCATGTAAAGTTACTTTTTTGCAGTGGCTCGTTCGTCTAGGGGTATGATTCTGGCTTAGGGTGCCCTTGATTCGTCAGAGAAAGTTTTCTGACTATCTGATGCTTCTGACACCATGTGAAATTTCATCACTGTAGTGGCTCGTTGGTCTAGGGGTATGATTCTCGCTTTGGGTGTGAGAGGTCCCGGGTTCAAATCCTGGACGAGCCCTTGCAGGTGTCATGTGTTTTACAGGGCACTATGACTTTCATTAAAATGTCTTTCGAAGAATTCCAGTTTGTCAGCAGATAGTGTCGCCACATAAAACATTCCTTTGCATAGTGGCTTGCTGGTCTAGGAGTATTATTTTCGTTCATGCAATGAGAAATCCCAGATTCAAATTTCGGTTGAGCCCTTACAGCTGTCTGCTGTTTTGTAAGGTCTACGGGCTTACACAGAGGCCTTTTTTCTGAGAATGCCAGTTCATCAGCAGATAATTTTGCCATGTAAAGTGGCTGTTACAGTAGCTAGTTGGTTTAGGGGTAGGATTCTCGATTAGGGTGCCCTTGATTCGTTAGAGAAAGTTTTCTGACTATCTGATGGTTCTGACGCCATGTGAAGTTTTATCAATGTAGTGACTCGTTGGCCTCGGGGTATGATTCTCGCTTTTTTGGTGAGAGAGGTCCCGGGTTCAAATCCCGGATGAGCCCTTGTGGGTGTCATGCGTTTTACAGGGCACTATGTCCTTCATAAAAATATCTTTCGAAGAACTTCAGTTTGTCAGCAGATAGTGTCGCCACATAAAACAATCCTTTGCATAGTGGCTTGCTGGTCTAGGAGTATGATTTTCGTTCATGCAATGAAAGATCCCAGATTCAAATTTCGCTTGAGCCCTTACACTTGTCTGCTGTTTTGTAAGGTCGTTGTGGCTTACACAGAGGCCTTTTTTCTGAGAATGCCAGTTTGTCAGCAGATAGTGTTACCATATAAAGTTGCTGTTTTGCAGTGGCTCGGTGGTCTAGGGGTATGATTCTCACTTAGGGTGCCCTTGATTCGTTAGAGAAAGATTTCTGACTATCTGACGCCTTGTGAAATTCTTTCAATTTAGTGGTTCATTGGTCTATGGGTATGATTCTCGCTTCGGTTGCGAGAGGACCCAGGTTCAATTCTCGGATGAGCCCTTGCAGGTGTACTGTGTTTTACAGGGCATTATATCTTTCGTAAAAACGTCTTTCAAAGAATTCCAATTTGTCAGCAGATAGTGTCGCCACATAAAATATTTCTTGCATAGTGGCTTGCTGGTTTAAGAGTTTGATTCTCGTTCATGCCATGAGAAATCTTAGGTTCAAATTTCAGTTGAACCCTTACAGTTGTCTTTTGTTTTGTAAGGGCGTTGTGGCTTACACAGAGGCCTTTTTCTGAGAATGCCGGTTTGTCAGCAGATAGTGTTGCCATGTAAAGTGGCTATTTTGCAGTTGCTCGTTGGTCTACGGGCATGATTTTCGCTTAAGGTGCGAGAGGTCCCGTTTTCAAATCCTGGACGAACCATTGCAGAAGTCCTGGGTCCAAATGAAGCAAAAGCCCATCTGTTCCTTCTGATGTCTTGTAAAATATTCAAGCTTTTGTGGCTCGTTGGTCTAGGGGTATGATTCTCTCTTAGGGTGCGAGAGGTCCCGGGTTCAAATCCCGGACGAGCCCTTGCAGTTATTCTGTTGTTTTACAGGGCATTATGGCTTTCATAAAAAACGTTTTTCGAAGAATTGCAGTTTGTCAGCAGATAGTGTCGGCACATAAAGCATTCCTTTGCATAGTGGTTTGGTTGTCTAGGACTATGATTCTCGTTCATGCCGTGAGAAATCCCAGATTCAAATTTCGGTTGAGCCCTTACAGTTGTCTGCTGTTTTGTAAGGGCGTTGTGGCTTACACAGAGGGCTTTTTTCTGAGAATGCCAGTTCGTCAGCTGATAGTGTTGCCATATAAAGTTACTGTATTGCAGTGGCTCGTTGGTCTAGGGGTATGATTCTCGCTTAGGGTGCCCTTGATTCGTTAGAGAAAGTTTTCTGACTATCTGATGCTTCTGACATCATGTGAAATTAATTCAATTTGGTGGCTTGTTGGTCTAGGGGTATGAATCTCGCTTCGGGTGTGAGAGGTCCCGGGTTCAAATCCCAGACTAGCCCTTACAGTTTTATGTGTTTTACAGGGCACTATGTCTTTCATTAAAATGTCTTTCGAAGAATTCCACTTTGTCAGCAGATAGTGTCGCCACATAAAACATTCCTTTGCATAGTGGCTTGCTGGTCTAGGAGTATCGTTCTCGTTCATGCCATGAGAAATCCTAGGTTCAAATTTCAGTTGAACCCTTACAGTTGTCTTTTGTTTTGTAAGGGCGTTGTGGCTTACACAGAGGCTTTTTTCTGAGAATGCCGGTTTGTCAGCAGATAGTGTTGCCATGTAAAGTTACTGTTTTGCAGTGGCTCGTTGGTCTAGGGGTATGATTCTGGCTTAGGGTGCCCTTGATTCGTCAGAGAAAGTTTTCTGACTATCTGATGCTTCTGACGCCATGTGAAATTTTATCACTGTTGTTGCTCGTTGGTCTAGGGGTATGATTCTTGCTTAGGGTGCGAGAGGTCCTGGGTTCAAATCCTGGATGAGTCCTTAGAGATATTATGTGTTTTATAGGGCACTATGTCTTTCATTAAAATGTCTTTCGAAGAATTCCAGTTTGTCAGCAGATAGTGTCACCACATAAAACATTCCTTTGCATAGTGGCTTGCTGGTCTAGGAGTATGATTTTCGTTTATGCAATGAAAAATCCCAGATTCAAATTTCGGTTGAGCCCTTACACTTGTCTGCTGTTTTGTAAGGTCGTTGTGGCTTACACAGAGGCCTTTTTTCTGAGAATGCCAGTTTGTCAGCAGATAGTGTTGCCATATAAAGTTGCTGTTTTGCAGTGGCTCGGTGGTCTAGGGGTATGATTCTCACTTAGGGTGCCCTTGATTCGTTAGAGAAAGATTTCTGACTATCTCACGCCTTGTGAAATTCTCTCACTTTAGTGGTTTATTGGTCTATGGGTATGATTCTCGCTTCGGTTGCGAGAGGACCCGGGTTCAATTCTCTGATGAGCCCTTGCAGGTGTACTGTGTTTTACAGGGCATTATATCTTTCGTAAAAACGTCTTTCAAAGAATTCCAATTTGTCAGCAGATAGTGTCGCCACATAAAATATTTCTTGCATAGTGGCTTGCTGGTTTAAGAGTTTGATTCTCGTTGATGCCATGAGAAATCTTAGGTTCAAATTTCAGTTGAACCCTTACAGTTGTCTTTTGTTTTGTAAGGGCGTTGTGGCTTACACAGAGGCCTTTTTCTGAGAATGCCGGTTTGTCAGCAGATAGTGTTGCCATGTAAAGTGGCTATTTTGCAGTTGCTCGTTGGTCTACGGGCATGATTCTCGCTTAAGGTGCGAGAGGTCCCGTTTTCAAATCCTGGACGAACCATTGCAGAAGTCCCGGGTCCAAATGAAGCAAAAGCCCTGCTTCAATGTTTGTTAGATAAGGATTTCTGACCATCTGTTCCTTCTGATGTCTTGTAAAATATACAAGCTTTTGTGGCTCGTTGGTCTAGGGGTATAATTCACGCTTAGGGTGCGAGAGGTCCCGGGTTCAAATCCCGGACGAGCCCTTGCAGTTATTCTGTTGTTTTACAGGGCATTCTGGCTTTCATAAAAACATTTTTCGAAGAATTCCAGTTTGTCAGCAGATAGTGTCGGCACATAAAGCATTCCTTTGCATAGTGGTTTGGTTGTCTAGGACTATGATTCTCGTTCATGCCGTGAGAAATCCCAGATTCAAATTTCGGTTGAGCCCTGACAGTTGTCTGCTGTTTTGTAAGGGCGTTGTGGCTTACACAGAGGGCTTTTTTCTGAGAATGCCAGTTCGTCAGCTGATAGTGTTGCCATATAAAGTTACTGTATTGCAGTGGCTCGTTGGTCTAGGGGTATGATTCTCGCTTAGGGTGCCCTTGATTCGTTAGAGAAAGTTTTCTGACTATCTGATGCTTCTGACGCCATGTGAACTGAATTCTACTTAGTGGCTCGTTGGTCTAGGGGTATGATTCTCGCTTCGGGTGTGAGAGGTCCCGGGTTCAAATCCCGGACGAGCCCTTGTAGTTATTCTGTTGTTTTACAGGGCATTATGGCTTTCATAAAAAACGTTTTTCGAAGAATTCCAGTTTGTCAGCAGATAGTGTCGGCACATAAAGCATTCCTTTGCATAGTGGTTTGGTTGTCTAGGACTATGATTCTCGTTCATGCCATGAGAAATCCCAGATTCAAATTTCGGTTGAGCCCTTACAGTTGTCTGCTGTTTTGTAAGGGCGTTGTGGCTTACACAGAGGGCTTTTTTCTGAGAATGCCAGTTCGTCAGCTGATAGTGTTGCCATATAAAGTTACTGTATTGCAGTGGCTCGTTGGTCTAGGGGTATGATTCTCGCTTAGGGTGCCCTTGATTCGTTAGAGAAAGTTTTTTGACTATCTGATGCTTCTGACATCATGTGAAATTAATTCAATTTGGTGGCTTGTTGGTCTAGGGGTATGAATCTCGCTTCGGGTGTGAGAGGTCCCGGGTTCAAATCCCATACTAGCCCTTATAGGTGTTATGTGTTTTACAGGGCACTATGTCTTTCATTAAAATGTCTTTCGAAGAATTCCACTTTGTCAGCAGATAGTGTCGCCACATAAAATATTTCTTGCATAGTGGCTTGCTGGTGTAGGAGTATGATTCTCGTTCATGCCGTGAGAAATCCCAGATTCAAATTTCGGTTGAGCCCTTACAGTTGTCCGCTGTTTTGTAAGGGCGTTGTGGCTGACACAGAGGCCTTTTTTCTGAGAATGCCAGCTCGTCAGCTGATAGTGTTGCCATATAAAGTTACTGTTTTGCAGTGGCTCGTTGGTCTAGGGGTATGATTCTCGCTTAGGGTGCCCTTGATTCGTTAGAGAAAGTTTTCTGACTATCTGATGCTTCTGACGCCATGTGAAATGAATTCAACTTTGTGGCTCGTTGGTCTAGGGGTATGATTCTCGCTTCGGGTGTGAGAGGTCGCGGGTTCAAATCCCGGACGAGACCTTGCAGTTATTCTGTTGTTTTACAGGGCATTCTGGCTTTCATAAAAAACGTTTTTCGAAGAATTCCAGTTTGTCAGCAGATAGTGTCGCCACATAAAGCATTCCTTTGCATAGTGGTTTTGTTGTCTAGGACTATGATTCTCGTTCATGCCGTGAGAAATCCCAGATTCAAATTTCGGTTGAGCCCTTACAGTTGTCTGCTGTTTTGTAAGGGCGTTGTGGCTGACACAGAGGCCTTTTTTCTGAGAATGCCAGTTCGTCAGCTGATAGTGCTGCCATATAAAGTTACTGTTTTGCAGTGGCTCGTTGGTCTAGGGGTATGATTCTCGCTTAGGGTGCCCTTGATTCATTAGAGAAAGTTTTCTGACTATCTGATGCTTCTGACGCCATGTGAAATAAATTCAACTTTGTGGCTCGTTGGTCTAGGGGTATGATTCTCGTTTCGGGTGTGAGAGGTCCCGGGTTCAAATCCCGGACGAGCCCATACAGATGTTATGTGTTTTACAGGGCACTATGTCTTTCATTAAAATGTCTTTCGAAGAATTCCAGTTTGTCAGCAGATAGTGTCACCACATAAAACATTCCTTTGCATAGTGGCTTGCTGGTCTAGGAGTATGATTTTCGTTCATGCAATGAAAAATCCCAGATTCAAATTTCGGTTGAGCCCTTACACTTGTCTGCTGTTTTGTAAGGGCGTTGTGGCTTTCACAGAGGCCTTTTTTCTGAGAATGCCAGTTTGTCAGCAGATAGTGTTGCCATATAAAGTTGCTGTTTTGCAGTTGCTCGGTGGTCTATGGGTATGATTCTCACTTAGGGTGCCCTTGATTCGTTAGAGAAAGATTTCTGACTATCTCACGCCTTGTGAAATTCTCTCACTTTAGTGGTTCATTGGTCTATGGGTATGATTCTCGCTTCGGTTGCGAGAGGACCCGGGTTCAATTCTCTGATGAGCCCTTGCAGGTGTACTGTGTTTTACAGGGCATTATATCTTTCGTAAAAACGTCTTTCAAAGAATTCCAATTTGTCAGCAGATAGTGTCGCCACATAAAATATTTCTTGCATAGTGGCTTGCTGGTTTAAGAGTTTGATTCTCGTTCATGCCATGAGAAATCTTAGGTTCAAATTTCAGTTGAACCCTTACAGTTGTCTTTTGTTTTGTAAGGGCGTTGTGGCTTACACAGAGGCCTTTTTCTGAGAATGCCGGTTTGTCAGCAGATAGTGTTGCCATGTAAAGTGGCTATTTTGCAGTTGCTCGTTGGTCTACGGGCATGATTCTCGCTTAAGGTGCGAGAGGTCCCGTTTTCAAATCCTGGACGAACCATTGCAGAAGTCCCGGGTCCAAATGAAGCAAAAGCCCTGCTTCAATGTTTGTTAGATAAGGATTTCTGACCATCTGTTCCTTCTGATGTCTTGTAAAATATACAAGCTTATGTGGCTCGTTGGTCTAGGGGTATGATTCTCGCTTAAGGGTGTGAGAGGTCCCGGGTTCAAATCCCGGACGAGCCCTTGCAGTTTTCTGTTGTATACAGGGCATTCTGGCTTTCATAAAAAACGTTTTTCGAAGAATTCCAGTTTGTCAGCAGATACTGTTGGCACATAAAGCATTCCTTTGCATAGTGGTTTGGTTGTCTAGGACTATGATTCTCGTTCATGCCGTGAGAAATCCCCAGATTCAAATTTCGGTTGAGCCCTGACAGTTGTCTGCTGTTTTGTAAGGGCGTTGTGGCTTACACAGAGGGCTTTTTTCTGAGAATGCCAGTTCGTCAGCTGATAGTGTTGCCATATAAAGTTACTGTATTGCAGTGGCTCGTTGGTCTAGGGGTATGATTCTCGCTTAGGGTGCCCTTGATTCGTTAGAGAAAGTTTTCTGACTATCTGATGCTTCTGACGCCATGTGAAATGAATTCAACTTAGTGGCTCGTTGGTCTTAGGGGTATGATTCTCGCTTTGGGTGTGAGAGGTCCCGGGTTCAAATCCCGGACGAGCCCATACAGATGTTATGTGTTTTACAGGGCACTATGTCTTTCATTAAAATGTCTTTCGAAGAATTCCAGTTTGTCAGCAGATAGTGTCACCACATAAAACATTCCTTTGCATAGTGGCTTGCTGGTCTAGGAGTATGATTTTCGTTCATGCAATGAAAAATCCCAGATTCAAATTTCGGTTGAGCCCTTACACTTGTCTGCTGTTTTGTAAGGTCGTTGTGGCTTACACAGAGGCCTTTTTTCTGAGAATGCCAGTTTGTCAGCAGATAGTGTTGCCATATAAAGTTGCTGTTTTGCAGTGGCTCGGTGGTCTAGGGGTATGATTCTCACTTAGGGTGCCCTTGATTCGTTAGAGAAAGATTTCTGACTATCTCACGCCTTGTGAAATTATCTCAATTTAGTGGTTCATTGGTCTATGGGTATGATTCTCGCTTCGGTTGCGAGAGGACCCGGGTTCAATTCTCGGATGAGCCCTTGCAGGTGTAATGTGTTTTACAGGGCATTATATCTTTCGTAAAAACGTCTTTCAAAGAATTCCAATTTGTCAGCAGATAGTGTCGCCACATAAAATATTTCTTGCATAGTGGCTTGCTGGTTTAAGAGTTTGATTCTCGTTCATGCCATGAGAAATCTTAGGTTCAAATTTCAGTTGAACCCTTACAGTTGTCTTTTGTTTTGTAAGGGCGTTGTGGCTTACACAGAGGCCTTTTTCTGAGAATGCCGGTTTGTCAGCAGATAGTGTTGCCATGTAAAGTGGCTATTTTGCAGTTGCTCGTTGGTCTACGGGCATGATTCTCGCTTAAGGTGCGAGAGGTCCCGTTTTCAAATCCTGGACGAACCATTGCAGAAGTCCCGGGTCCAAATGAAGCAAAAGCCCTGCTTCAATGTTTGTTAGATAAGGATTTCTGACCATCTGTTCCTTCTGATGTCTTGTAAAATATACAAGCTTATGTGGCTCGTTGGTCTAGGGGTATGATTCTCGCTTAGGGTGTGAGAGGTCCCGGGTTCAAATCCCGGACGAGCCCTTGCAGTTATTCTGTTGTTATACAGGGCATTCTGGCTTTCATAAAAAACGTTTTTCGAAGAATTCCAGTTTGTCAGCAGATAGTGTTGGCACATAAAGCATTCCTTTGCATAGTGGTTTGGTTGTCTAGGACTATGATTCTCGTTCATGCCGTGAGAAATCCCAGATTCAAATTTCGGTTGAGCCCTGACAGTTGTCTGCTGTTTTGTAAGGGCGTTGTGGCTTACACAGAGGGCTTTTTTCTGAGAATGCCAGTTCGTCAGCTGATAGTGTTGCCATATAAAGTTACTGTATTGCAGTGGCTCGTTGGTCTAGGGGTATGATTCTCGCTTAGGGTGCCCTTGATTCGTTAGAGAAAGTTTTCTGACTATCTGATGCTTCTGACGCCATGTGAAATGAATTCAACTTAGTGGCTCGTTGGTCTTAGGGGTATGATTCTCGCTTTGGGTGTGAGAGGTCCCGGGTTCAAATCCCGGACGAGCCCATACAGATGTTATGTGTTTTACAGGGCACTATGTCTTTCATTAAAATGTCTTTCGAAGAATTCCAGTTTGTCAGCAGATAGTGTCACCACATAAAACATTCCTTTGCATAGTGGCTTGCTGGTCTAGGAGTATGATTTTCGTTCATGCAATGAAAAATCCCAGATTCAAATTTCGGTTGAGCCCTTACACTTGTCTGCTGTTTTGTAAGGTCGTTGTGGCTTACACAGAGGCCTTTTTTCTGAGAATGCCAGTTTGTCAGCAGATAGTGTTGCCATATAAAGTTGCTGTTTTGCAGTGGCTCGGTGGTCTAGGGGTATGATTCTCACTTAGGGTGCCCTTGATTCGTTAGAGAAAGATTTCTGACTATCTCACGCCTTGTGAAATTATCTCAATTTAGTGGTTCATTGGTCTATGGGTATGATTCTCGCTTCGGTTGCGAGAGGACCCGGGTTCAATTCTCGGATGAGCCCTTGCAGGTGTAATGTGTTTTACAGGGCATTATATCTTTCGTAAAAACGTCTTTCAAAGAATTCCAATTTGTCAGCAGATAGTGTCGCCACATAAAATATTTCTTGCATAGTGGCTTGCTGGTTTAAGAGTTTGATTCTCGTTCATGCCATGAGAAATCTTAGGTTCAAATTTCAGTTGAACCCTTACAGTTGTCTTTTGTTTTGTAAGGGCGTTGTGGCTTACACAGAGGCCTTTTTCTGAGAGTGCCGGTTTGTCAGCAGATAGTGTTGCCATGTAAAGTGGCTATTTCGCAGTTGCTCGTTGGTCTACGGGCATGATTCTCGCTTAAGGTGTGAGAGGTCCCGTTTTCAAATCCTGGACGAACCATTGCAGAAGTCCCGGGTCCAAATGAAGCAAAAGCCCATCTGTTCCTTCTGATGTCTTGTAAAATATTCAAGCTTTTGTGGCTCGTTGGTCTAGGGGTATGATTCTCGCTTAGGGTGCGAGAGGTCCCGGGTTCAAATCCCGGACGAGCCCTTGCAGTTATTCTGTTGTTTTACAGGGCATTATGGCTTTCATAAAAAACGTTTTTCGAAGAATTACAGTTTGTCAGCAGATAGTGTCGGCACATAAAGCATTCCTTTGCATAGTGGTTTGGTTGTCTAGGACTATGATTCTCGTTCATGCCGTGAGAAATCCCAGATTCAAATTTCGGTTGAGCCCTTACAGTTGTCTGCTGTTTTGTAAGGGCGTTGTGGCTTACACAGAGGGCTTTTTTCTGAGAATGCCAGTTCGTCAGCTGATAGTGTTGCCATATAAAGTTACTGTATTGCAGTGGCTCGTTGGTCTAGGGGTATGATTCTCGCTTAGGGTGCCCTTGATTCGTTAGAGAAAGTTTTCTGACTATCTGATGCTTCTGATATCATGTGAAATTAATTAAGTTTGGTGGCTTGTTGGTCTAGGGGTATAAATCTCGCTTCGGGTGTGAGAGGTCCCGGGTTCAAATCCCAGACGAGCCCTTACAGGTGTTATGTGTTTTACAGGGCACTATGTCTTTCATTAAAATGTCTTTCGAAGAATTCCACTTTGTCAGCAGATAGTGTCGCCACATAAAATATTTCTTGCATAGTGGCTTGCTGGTGTAGGAGTATGATTCTCGTTCATGCCGTGAGAAATCCCAGATTCAAATTTCGGTTGAGCCCTTACAGTTGTCCGCTGTTTTGTAAGGGCGTTGTGGCTGACACAGAGGCCTTTTTTCTGAGAATGCCAGTTCGTCAGCTGATAGTGTTGCCATATAAAGTTACTGTTTTGCAGTGGCTCGTTGGTCTAGGGGTATGATTCTCGCTTAGGGTGCCCTTGATTCGTTAGAGAAAGTTTTCTGACTATCTGATGCTTCTGACGCCATGTGAAATGAATTCAACTTAGTGGCTCGTTGGTCTAGGGGTATGATTCTTGCTTCGGGTGTGAGAGGTCCCGGGTTCAAATCCTGGACGAGACCTTGCAGTTATTCTGTTGTTTTACAGGGCATTCTGGCTTTCATAAAAAACGTTTTTCGAAGAATTCCAGTTTGTCAGCAGATAGTGTCGGCACATAAAGCATTCCTTTGCATAGTGGTTTGGTTGTCTAGGACTATGATTCTCGTTCATGCCGTGAGAAATCCCAGATTCAAATTTCGGTTGAGCCCTTACAGTTGTCTGCTGTTTTGTAAGGGCGTTGTGGCTTACACAGAGGGCTTTTTTCTGAGAATGCCAGTTCGTCAGCTGATAGTGTTGCCATATAAAGTTACTGTATTGCAGTGGCTCGTTGGTCTAGGGGTATGATTCTCGCTTAGGGTGCCCTTGATTCGTTAGAGAAAGTTTTCTGACTATCTGATGCTTCTGACATCATGTGAAATTAATTCAATTTGGTGGCTTGTTGGTCTAGGGGTATGAATCTCGCTTCGGGTGTGAGAGGTCCTGGGTTCAAATCCCAGACGAGCTCTACAGGTGGTATGTGTTTTACAGGGCACTATGTGTTTCATTAAAATGTCTTTCGAAGAATTCCAATTTGTCAGCAGATAGTGTCGCCACATAAAACATTCCTTTGCATAGTGGCTTGCTGGTCTAGGAGTATGATTCTCGTTCATGCCGTGAGAAATCCCAGATTCAAATTTCGGTTGAGCCCTTACAGTTGTCCGCTGTTTTGTAAGGGCATTGTGGCTGACACAGAGGCCTTTTTTCTGAGAATGCCAGTTCGTCAGCTGATAGTGTTGCCATATAAAGTTACTGTTTTGCAGTGGCTCGTTGGTCTAGGGGTATGATTCTCGCTTAGGGTGCCCTTGATTCGTTAGAGAAAGTTTTCTGACTATCTGATGCTTCTGACGCCATGTGAAATGAATTCAACTTAGTGGCTCATTGGTCTAGGGGTATGATTCTCGCTTCGGGTGTGAGAGGTACTGGGTTCAAATCCCGGACGAGCCCATACAGATGTTATGTGTTTTACAGGGCACTATGTCTTTCATTAAAATGTCTTTCGAAGAATTCCAGTTTGTCAGCAGATAGTGTTGCCATATAAATTTGCTGT